ATATGTCGGAAACAACTTGAAGGCACACAACAACAACAGTTGAACATCATTGCAAGAGGGTACAATTGGCCAAAGTAAGATCCTTACTTGGGGCAGGGGATGTCTTTTTTATTGTTTTATATTTTGCACAGCTGATAGCATAAACCGCATTAGAACTATTGCAGTTTGGAAAATGTTTCAGTGTGAAGCATCCACCATCCTTTTGTCGTAAAGTGCCATGGCAAAGCCCTTTTGAAGGAACATGCCAAGAAAACCCCACAATAGATTCGCCTTAGGGTTGCCATATGTTGGAAGCGACTTGATGGCACACAACACACACAAACACATGTTTGTGATACAGAATCGTGTGCCATGCAGCGAAAAACCCCAAATGACTCCTGTTTTCTTGCAACAGATGTGGACCAAGCGGCATTCAGGAACAGGTGATTCCCATTTCACGGACTGAGAAAAGTGAAGTTCTCAAAGTGGTTGCATGTGCGAACATATGACTGTACTCACAATTGTACAAGCTATGTGTAGGTTACACCTTCTTGATGCATCTAATTAAAGGGTGGACAAGTTCATTTGGAAGGATGGGGTTATTTAAGGCAACAGCAAGAGAACAAGGCTCTTGTTCTTTCCCCTTCCGCACCTGAATCTTCTGCAAGGAAATAACTCCTCTAACAGGTGTCCCTTGCATCAGATTGCAGAATATTGCAGAATATTGCAGTTATGGACGCAACCTGCTCCAAGTTGTTAGGCTGACTTCATCACCCAAAGATGTCAAATATCCCTACACTTTTATTTTGCAATTCTGGGAAGGTGGAGGTGGAAAGGAAGGGGGGCCAAAAGCAATTGAGCAAACATAGATCTGGACAGAATATTTCAGGTGGTATGTTGCAAATCCTCCTCCATCCTTGCCCCAGGCATATGGAGCTCAGGAACAAACCTCACCCATCGCTTTGGCAAGTGACAAGAACAAGACATCTTGCTATATGCAAAAACAATAGCAAAAAATGCAAGGATTTTAATTGCAAATGCTTCCCACTTTCCATTTTCAAATTTCTTAACTAATGGTGACTGAGCCAATATAGGAGCATGTTCTGGGAAATCTGTCCTAATACAACTATATTTCTCCCCTCCTTTCCCCTTCCCCCAATGATTGTCCAGTGTATGATTTTTAATACTGTAAGCCGCCCTGAGTCCCAGTTTTGGGAGAAGGGCAGGTTGTTGTTGTTGTTGTTGTTGTTATTATTATTATTATTATCAGAAATAAGAATCAATGCATTAGAACTCAGAATCAATAAATTTGAAATCTGAGAAAAGAAGAATCAAAGCATCTGAAATCAGAATCAATGCATTAGAACTCAGAATCAATAAATTTGAAATCTGAGAAAAGAAAAATCAATGCACCTGAAATCAGAATCAATGCATTAGAACTCAGAATCAATAAATTTGAAATCTGAGAAAAGAACAATCAATGCATTTGAATCAGAATCAATGCATCTGAAATCTGAGAAAAGAAGAATCAATGCATCTAAAATCAGAATCAATGCATTAGAACTCAGAATCAATGTATCTGAAATCTGAGAAAAGACTCAATGCATTTGAAACCAGAATCATTTGAACTCTAAGAAAAGCAGAATCAATTCATCTGAAATCATAATCAATACATTAGAATTCAGAATCAATATATCTGAAATCTGAGAAAAGCAGAATCAATGCATGTGAAATCAGAATCAATGCATTAGAACTCAGAATCAATGCATTAGAACTTAGAATCAATGCATCTGAAATTTGAGAAAAGAAGAATCAATGCATTTGAATCAGACTCAATGCATTAGAAATCAGAATCAATGCACCTGAAATCTGGAGAAGAGTTCTGTGGATACCATTGACTGCCAAAAAAACCAAATCAATGGGTCTGAGAGCAAATCAGCCTAAATACTCCTAAGAAGCCAAGATGACTAAACTGATGTACTGTACTTTGGACACATCATGGGACAAAGTGACTCATTGGGAAAGACAATAATGCTTGGTAAAGTGGAAGGCAGTAGGAAAAGAGGGAGACCGCATTACGGTGGATAGACTCCATCAAGGAAGCATCATCCCTGAGTTTGCAAGACCTGAGTAGGGCAGGTGATGAAAGTTTTTGAATTTTTAACTGTTTTAATCTGTACTAGTTTTAAGCACTTCTACCTGTTAAATTGCATTTTATTTTTTAATAAGTAATGTACTTTAATACCGTGTGTGTGTGCATGTTGTGTGCCTTCCAACCTATTTTGACTCTACCATTGGGCTTTCTTGGCAAAATTTGTTCAGAAGAGGTTTGCCATTGCCTTCCCCTGAGGATGAGAGAGTGTGACATGCCCAAAGTCTTCTCCCCATTTGTTGTTGTGTGTCTTCAAGTTGTTTCCAACTTATGACAACCCTATCATGGGTTTTTCTTGGCAAGATTTCTTCAGAGGTGGTTTGCCATTGCCTTCTTCTGAGGCTGAGAGAGTGTGACTTGCCCAA